AATATATAAAATAAATATCAAAAAAAAAGAAAAAAAAAATATATATATATATATATATAATAAACTGCTACTAAATATAAATTAAAAAAACAAATGTATAAAAATATATCAAAATAAAAAGAAAAAAATCATTATATATCAAAATAAATGAGTATAAAAAGTATCAAAATTATATTTTTGTAATAGTATAAAATAAACTTCTACTAAATATAAATTAAAAAACAAATATAAAAAAAATATAAAAAAAATAATATAAAAAAAATAATATATATAAAAAATAAACTACTACTAAATATAAACTAAATGTATAAAATAAATATCAAAATAAAAGAAAAAAAATGAATATATTAAAAAAATAAAATGGTACTAAATATAAATTAAAAAAAAACAAATGCATAAAAAATATCAAAATGAAAAGAAAAAAAAATCAATATATATATAAGTATAAAAAAATATCAAAAAAAATAATGGCTTTTTGTTTAAAGCTAGAGATTACTAATAATGAATATTTAAGACTAAAGGATAAATAATTTTTAAAAAATGAAAACTTAGTAAATAATAATTTTTTCAATTATTTATCAGTAATTTTCCATATATACAAAATATTATTTTAAAAATATTTCCTTTAAAATTTACGTAAAAAATAAAACAAATTACCATATTAATTAATTTTAATGATAGAAAACTATTATATTCATTATAAAAACAAATAATTAATATTTTAACTGATTAATAAAAGATTTAATGTACATTATAACTAGAAAAACAAATAATTAATAAAATAATTTAATAGTATAATCGTTATAAGCATGAAGACCTAAGTTCAATCTTCATTGCGACCATCTTTGTAATCTTTCATATCTTAAAAAAAAATTCTGATAATATACATTTTCAGATGATATAAATCTTATAATCGTGGACTAAGCATCTTTTGATAATGTACGTTTTGTTATAGACAGAATGCATAATAAGGGCAAATAGTAATTGAAAAAAAAATAGTAATTAGTAATAATATTGAAACAAAAATCTAATGATTATTAGTAATCATTTACATTATAAAATTTTATTAATAATAACTATTTATATATATATATATATATATATATATATA